ACACATTGAATGTGTGGAATTTAATGCTACAGCCACAGGCTTGTGAAATTCCAAACCACAATTGAGTTACATTGAGTGATCAGTAGCAAAGAACATTTTTTGAATATATTTGGGGTCAAGACAACCCCTCCACCTATGTTTGTACAGCACAGAGCACAATAAAGCCCTAATCCAGATCTGGCCCATGTGCAACTGCTGTTTAAGGATGATTAGTAACAATAAATATATAAAAAATAAATTAGTTCAAGGCACACGTCCAAGGGCAGCAAAGTTGACATTCAAGCTGACTTCTGAGAGCTTGATTTCTTAATCTTAATGATGTGTAGCGAAAAAGAGATGCCAAGAAGAAAAATATGGTCACCAAAGAGAGTTGTAAAAATTATAAACTGAAACCCCTTATATGGTCTCCTGGAGTCAATCATCAGGCATTAGGCTGGGTTGTTTATTTTCAAGGTTTAATCTTAAACTTTGGAGTATTTTTAAACTTCTGAAATTTTCACATTTCTGTTGAAAACAACCGGCCACATAGCACTCTGAGCTACAGATGAGATACTAAATCCTGAACTGAACAGCCATACACTGTATCTTTACTCAACAGTTAGAATCATCTTTTAAGGACTGGGCAGAACCATTCTGTCTAACCTACCTCATTGGAATGTTGCGAGGTTGAAAAAGGAACAGGTACACTCCTGTGAGTTCCTTAGAGCAAGGGTACGTTTAGGGTTACTAATCTCAAGGTGGGACCTGGAATTCTCCTGGAATTACAACTGATCTTGAGGTGACAGAGATCAGTTCTCCTGGAGGAAAAATGGTACGTTGGAATGGAGGACTCTATGGCACCATGTCCTCACTGAGCCCCCTCCCTTCCTAGAAATGTCCCAAACCAGGATTGGCAATCCTAGATAGGACACAAATGTAATAAACAAAATACATATTCTTTGAACACTTGCACTGGGTCTCACAATTATGTGAAACATGTTCATGGGCACAGCATCACAGACACAACGTAAATCTGTGCTGATCATTTAATATTTAGATGCCATTCATTTTGTATTTCCTGTTCCCATTCATCCCTGGCTAACACATGCGTAAGTCTTGTAATATTTTAGCTATTAATCTGGTCGTACGAAATCTTGCTGAACCTGTGAGTGTATTTGGAATTTTGGGACAGTGTAGTGGGTGACAAACACAAAACGGCTGCTGTAGAAACAAGGCCAATCACAAAATAGCTACCACATGGTTGCGAGTGATCTCAAAGAGTTGAGAGGTTCCACAAAATGCTGAAAGGTTCCAAGCCAAGTGATGGAGGCAGCCATTGCTGGCTCTACTATGACGCAAGGCAGCGGCCTAGGGTAGATTTTCATCACTGATTTGCCTCCCAGCCGGGGGGAAACAGTTATATGGGTGATAGTGGATCTTTTTACCAAGCAAGCCCATTTTGTCCCCTTTAAGTTTATGCCTACAGCTCGCCTTCTGGCCAAAGCATTTCTCCAACAGGTGTTCAGGCTGCATACTCTGCCCCGCAAGATTATTTCCAACCGCAGGGTGCAATTTGTTTCCAAGTTTTGGAGTTGGACTTGCTGGGGGTGGAGCGGGGCTTGAGTAGCGCTTACCACCCAGAGACTGATGGCCAGGGGTCATTTCGTAGCAAAAGAGGTGGAGCTCATTAGCATAACTTATTTTGCATATGCCACACCCCCTGACATCACTGGAAGTGTGTCAGAAGGCAACACCCACCGCTCAGGCTCCACTGGACTTTTTGGATTGCTAGCTATTGGGTAGGAGGGAACATGCAGATCTGTCCTTGCAGAGGAGGGAGCGCTTGTACCTGAATAAAACTTGGTCTTAAAGGTGCCACTGGACTGTTTTGGACCGGGGGCTGGGGTAGCTCTGCAACTTACCTGGCTGCTTCTTGCTCTGACTGAGGGCTGCTGGGAGCAGGGGGTGGGGCTTATTGCATGTGCCCACCCCCTGGGCTCTTTACTGCCAGAGCTCTGCTCCTGTGCGCTCCTGCAGGAAATTACCCCTGCTGATGGCCAAATGGAGCAGGTAAATCAAACCCTGGAGCAGTTTCACAAACTATCAACAGGATGACTGGGAGGGGCTCCTCCCTTTTGCCAAGTTTTGTTACAACAATGCGTGTCACTCATCTACAGGGCTCTCCCCATTCATGGCTCTCTATGGATATGAGGCCCCGCCCCTCTCTGACGAACTCTCCCCTGCCTGAGGGGGATGTGGGGGAATGGTGTCAGCATTTGCGTGACGCATGGCCAGTCCTGTGCAAGACTTTGGATTGGGCCAAGGACACATATAAAACACAAGCTAACAAGAAACGTTCTGAGGGCTGGGACATCCAGCCAGGGGAATCAGTCTATGTTTTCACTAAGAACATCCGGGGTCTTCACTCTACATGTAAACTGGGGTGGAAGTTTATCGGCCCTTTTCAGATGGTGAGTAAAATCAATGACGTGACTGTTGATCTGGAGATGGCTAAAATTTAAAGTTTCTGCATCCCATTTTCCATTTCAGCCTCCTAAAACGGGACCCTGGACCTAATGTTTGGAGACCCCCCCAGGAACAGCCCCCCCCCCCCCCCCGATGGAGCAAGGCGAACCACAATTCGAAGTGGCTGATATCTTGGACTCTAAGCTTAAGTGTAATAAGTTGTACTATTTGGTGGAATGGGTGGACTTTGGGCCACAACATCGTGAATGGGTGGAGGTGGGACACATCAAGGCCCCTCGTATACTGTGCAGGTTCCATCGTCGTTTCCTGGGTAAACCGGGTGGGGTGTCTTGGGAGGGCAGGATGTCAGTTAACACTGCCATTCTCTGGAATGTGTGGGGGGAATCCTCCTGGTCTCTGCCTGTTACACTAACGAAGTCTACTCTCTGGGTTTTATCTGCTCTTGCTTTTCTACCGACTCGCTGGGAACAGAGAGATTCTCCTTTTGCCTGCTCTCCTTTCCCTGTGCTCGCAGACTTTGCTTATTGGTTTTCGCTTGTAAGGGGGGTGTTTTGAACCTAGTATTATTCAGGGTGCCCTGATACTTCGGGCCATTCCTGACACAAGAAGTACACATGTCATAATCATGAACTACCAATAAACAGAATTCTTCTCATGAAGTGCTGTGTGGTGTGATCTGATTATCGAACCCTGACACCCTGGAGAACATGGCTGCTTTGGAAGGTGGACTCTATGGCATTATACCGCACTGAAGTGCTTTCCCTCCCCAAACCCCACCCTTCTCAGGCTACCCCCCAAATTCTCCTGTTATTTCCCAACTGAGAGCTGGCCACCCCACTCCCTGACATTTTGTGGTTGGCTCTTCCTCTTAAATCAGCCATTTTGTGGTTAGCTTCCCCTCCTGCAGCCATTTTGTAGTGACGTCCACCACCAGAACCATAGGTCCCCACAGGCTGGAACCCGAGAGCACAATCATAGTACACACTAGTTAACTATGAGGCCTGACCAGCACTCTGAATGAATGCCATGGGACACTTCTCAGACTCCTCTGCATGGAGTTAATTACAGACGAGCACTTCCTTAGCATGTATATTGATATGGAAGAACAGGAAATTTGAAAAACCCTGGTCTACTCTGACTGGCAGCAGACTTCTAAGTTCTCGGCAAGATCCTTAACTTGGAGATTAAAAGGACCGAATCAAGGACTTTATACATGCAAAGCATGCACTCCATAACGTTATGGCTCTTCTCCAAGTTTGGTTTTTAGTACATCAATGTATCATGTGATATACTGTGAAACAGAGGTTAACAGTGTGGTTGAGAAGAACCACAGAGAAAACATTTATGCACTGATTAAATGAACTGCAGAGTTGCTCCAGCTAGTCTGAGCTTGTCATAATGTCCTCTTTACTCATGCCCCACAGTAGCCCTGTAGATTAAAACTGAATTTGAAATAGACAGTTTTATTTTCAGTGTCAGGGTAGAAAGAAATCACTTCGGATACATGGGCAGAAATGGATGCACCAACATATGGCTGTTTTCATGCACCATCAAAAGCATACATGTCTACATATTTGATCTAATATTCAAGTGCACAAGGAACCCTCAGGCCACTTCATACATTTCAAAGTTTCTACATAGTAGGACTTAATGTGAATCCTTTGGAAGACACACCATCTGTGCAAATAGCCTCTAGCTACTTGACCAAGCCCTGGAAAGCTGTATTTGGCCATGAGGTCTGAGTACACCATGTGTACACAAGATGTACCTCTCCACCTGCAATCAAGGCAGGAGTTTCAACTTACACAGATATACCTTCCTGCCAGGGTTTCGAAAAGTGTTAAGAGGCCTTTGGCATCAGGTTGCACAAGGACACAGATCTGCAGGCACACAAAGCTGGCACTGTGCCCCAAACAGCCCGCATGCCACTTAACTGATAAGAGCACATATAAACCCACACTCACACACCATACTCCTTTTCATCCACCCTGTCACTTTCACACTCCTGGCCAAAGAGGATTCCAAGCTGGGACAGGCCCAGATAATATGCGTGTGTGTGTGTGTAAAAATACACACAACCATCCTGCTGCAGGCCGTGCAGCGAATCCTCCCTGTCGGGAACCCAGGAGCACCGCTCTACCGGGACGTGTCGAGGCGCAGACGAGCCAGCCTCGATGACCCCCCTCGCAAAGGCCTTTCACGGGCCTGAAGTCAGCAGGGTCTCCAACTCCACGGGCTTGCGCGCCCGGCACAGGGCTTGTCTCCAGCCGCGCGGCTAACGGAAACGCGGAGCTCGCCCCGGCGCCCCTCGGGGCCCGAGCGTCAAAGGCGGGAAGCCAACCGGGACGTGGGAGGAGCTGGAAGGCGGGCACGTGGCCCCGGGGCAGCTGGAGGGGCAGGGGGGAGCCGGGCTCAGAGCCGCCTGGGCTGGGGCGGCACTACAGGAGCCCGCGTCCCTCTCCCGTTCACTTCTTGGCCCCATGGAGCTGTGCCTGCTTCTGGGCACAAGAGGCTCTCCTGGCGCCGGGCGGCCGCTTCTGGGAACCACGTGTGCCCCGCCAAGGGGCCCCAGAGACGCGACGCCCTGGCGGATTCCGGCTGGGGCTGGGCACTCCCCTGCTCTCTGCTCTGAAACGGGACTTGAGGCTGGAAGTCAAACAGTGCGCAGCCCGCGATGCCAACTCTCGGCGGCTTCCTCGTGGCTCTTGCCCTGCAGACGGTGGGCGCGAAGGTGAGGGATGCTTTCGGTCTTTCAGTCCTCCCCGACCCGCGGCAGGTGGGATCTGGTACGAGCCCTGGGTGGGGTTACTGTCCTGCCCCCAAAAGACGCCCGAAGCCCTTTAAACCGGCGCAGCTGCGGGGCGTGGTGAGAGGGCGACCGGGCGCTTCTGGCTCCCGGCTAAAAAGAAGAGCCGGCGAAGTGTGAGCCGCCACTTCACTGTCCCGCTTCCGAACGAGAAGCGCCGGGGCTGAAGCCCTGAAGGAGGAACGCCGCCCTCTCCTCTGACCCCGAAGCCTTGCCGCGACCCGTGGCAGCCGGTTAAGAGGGTTGGCAGGGGAACTCCACCCGTGGTGGAAGGCTTAGGCACGCAGTCAGACCTTTTAGAACGAAGCGCTGAAAAAAGAGGTTCGGGCCTAAGGGGACCCCCCCCCCCCGCATGAGTTAAAAGCCCTGCTGTCTTCATGGCATTCTGTATTACACCTAAAGGGGCTCAAGCCCCCCTAAGGACAATGTCTTGTGATCTGGAATCCCCGCCCCCATCTCAGGAGGTGCAGGAGCAGCAGTCCAAGGAAGACCCCCACTGTACCTTTTCAGAGCCACTGACATCCTTTTCCATATTCCAAAGTAGAGCCTTGGCATGGAATAAACAGCTTCCAGGGCTTTAAGCCCAGATCCGTGAACTGGACTTGTGGGACAAAGCAGGATCCACAGGGGAATGCACTGTGGCTCAGAGGAAGAGCATCTCCTCGGCATGCAGAAGGCCCTGGGTTCAATCTCTGGCATTTCACGATCAGAGAGTAGGTCCTCTGCGTGAGACCCCGTAGATAGAAGAATGGACTGGCTCAGTATAAAAGCAGCTTCATGTGGATATTAATTCCTGATTGTGGGTGATTACAGTAGTGCAGTATCCAGCAATGTTTGGATCCAGCAAGTTGCCCACAACGCAGCCTTGTGGACTGTTTTGTTTGCTTCTAAGCTATACCCCACCCATGTCACAAAAAGACTCCCCTGCCTCTTGCGCAAGTGTCCCTCTGGTGGTGGTGGGGAGGGTCTTGGACAAGAGAAGTGCAGGAGACGCTCTCCTGGCCTCTGCTCAGCCCCAGTGAAGTCTGCAAAGCAGAGACCTGGGACTTGTTCCCCTCTTTTCCAGGCTTCCCTTGGCAGGGGGAGAGGGAACTTCCCCTATGATAAGGGAAGCACAGAATAATCTCTCCCATCTCCTGTCCCCAGCTTGAGGGAGCTTGTAGAGCAAGAAGCCAGTCCTTGTTTCACAAGCTTCCTTGGGGATCAGTGTAGAAGGGGATTCTCTCTCTCCTTCTGGTTCTGGAGACGCTTTCCTCTCCCACATTTCCCTCTGCTGAAGGGAAGCAAATGGCAACCTGCAGGGCAGAGCTAGGGCTTTGCATCTGCCCTCTTCCCGTAAGCACACCACCATTCCATGGGAGCAGAAGGCACACATACATGCGCGGTCCCATCGTTCCCTATTTTGAGGGATTTTCCTCTCTTGGGCAGGTAAAAGGGGGTGGGGGCTGGCATGTTTTGCCTGCATGTCTGGTATGGAGAATCCTCCCTCCTTCTTTGCAGCACTCGGTCATCTGCATGAGGCATTTTGCTATTAAAGGGTCTGATTTGATGTGTTTGGGGAAGGGGGATTCCCGGAAGGCATTTCAATTCGGGCATGTGGTTGGGAACCAGTGGTGTAGTGTCGAACTAGTATCTGGGAGACCTGGGTTCAAAACCCCATTTATGCCATGGAACTTCCCTGGATGACCTTGGGCTACTCACACTCTCTCAGCCTAACCTACCTTACAGGGTTGTTGTGAGGGTAAAAAGAGGAGAATGTCCCCATTGAGAAGAAAGGCAGGGTATACACGAATAAAATAAATAAATAAAGTAGACACAATGTGGTGGAGGGTGTGTGTGTGGTCCCATTGTAAGAGAAGGTATCAGAGTTTTCCTGTCCAAAATCCTTGATGCTGATTCAGTGGCACCCTTATTGCACAGTTCTGCTTGCCGCCAGGATGAGTTTTCTCCTGGGTGCTTCTGTTTTCTCTGGAAACAACAACATTAGTTCACTGAGTTGTTACAGAGAATCTAGATGACATCACTGCCAAACCAATTTGCAACCCAGTCCCCCCCCCCCCGCTTGTTGACCTCCAGCCCCTTTTGCTTCTAACACTAGCAGTTTTCTCTGCAGTTGAAACCTTCCAGTTGCTCAGTTGCGCCAGAGGCTCACCTGGCTTGGAGAAGTTGGTGAGGTGAAGCCCCACCTTTCTGAATTGCTTGCCCTGCATTTCATGGTTGCTGTGTCTCTCTTATTTGCTCCTGTATCCCTGAAGCAATTTTAGAAAAGTTAAAGTTCTGCAGATTAGCAGGTCAGGAGACTGAGTGCTTTACTAGATTCCTCCCATCTTCCTGCCAAACAGCTTTGTATGTTCATAATGAATAAATGAACAGCTGGTTGGTGGGATTTTAATCTACATTGATTGCTTGTACCGAAGTGTGGACCAAAGTTCAATGCTAAAATCTGTACCCCATGAAGAACACTCATCATGTAGAGGACCTCAAGTGTGATGTACAGTCCCTCTTATTTATTTATGAGGGGAACCTCCACATTCAGAGGCATGAAACTTCTGAATCCCAGAGCCTGAAGGCAACATCAGGTGAAGGTCTTGGCCTCTATGCCCTGTTGTTGGCCCTCCAGAGGAACTGGCTGGCCACTGTATGAGACAGGATGCTAGACTAGATGGACCAAGGGTCCGATCCAGCAGGGCTGTTCTTATGTGCTAATGGGGACCCAGAGCTGTTTATATCATTCTCCTGACAACAACCCTGTGAGGTGGGTTAGGCTGAGAAAGTGTGGGACTGTTCCAAGGTCACCCAGCAAACCCCTGTGGCAGAGCGGGGATTTGAACCTGCCTCCCAGATCTACTCCATTTTTTCTCCCTCCCCCAGTAATGCTGACTAAAGAAAGAGGCACGAGGGTCTCAGATATGGTTCAAAATGGGGTAGCCTTGTCCTTAAATCTGTTCCTCTTTCATATTTACTCATTTCCTTCTGTTTTAGAAGCTTTTGAAACAAAATTCTATATCAGCCCAGCAAAAGATACCTCCTCCTAAAGTTTACCCAATGTCTCTGTGAATAAGTGTTTCCAATATATAAGTATAGTTTAAAATAATCAATACAGGAAGTTAGTCCAATTCGATACTATTTTAACAACCACCTTTCAGCACATCAAAAAGGACAGTGTCGTGCAAGCAGGAGCAAGGTATAGGGTTCAAGCCGGCATTTTTAGTGCTTCCAGTTACCTACTTATCCAGTTCATCTTGGTTATGAAAGTTGATTCTCAGACGCTGCATCGATACTTACATGGTCAAATCCATCTTCTGCTGGAATAACAACTTTTGAGCTACTAGTGTGCACTTAAATGCACTTGTGACAATGGTCCAACAAAACGTTCCCTTTAACTTTCTTTTTGTTTTATTTCATGTCTCATCCTAGAACTATTCTTTTAAAACTTTTTTTAACATGGCTATTTTTTCCCCAAATGCTGATTTATACTGGCCATTAAATGCACAGGGACCTCTCCCATTTGGAGCACCTTATTAACTCATTTTTCTTTCTGTTTCTCAGTTCAGAGGGTATCAATGTCTGACCACCTCAGATCTGTCCTAGCTTCATATTTCCTTGCACAAACCTTTATTAGATTTTCAAGGCACAGGGATCTATGCACTAGAGTGACAGCTGATAATCAGAAGCCGAACTGCAGTTTCTCTCTGTAATTCAGTAAATTGTATACTATTCCATGGGGCACATAGGAAGGCATGACAACATCACTGTGAGTCAGAGTGAGACTGGAAAAGTATTTAATTTCCGAAATGAGGTGCTGCAACTAAAGCTTGCCTGGAAATAAGATCCTTTTACTTGGAAACTTTTTTTCTCTAATCCCAGATATCTGCAGATTGATTGTATTTAGTCATTGGTGAATCAAAAACACTTAGTGCGAGATCAAAGGGATTACCTCTATTCATATTTCACATGTTCCACATGGTCTAGCATAAAAACGGGGTTTTCCCCACTGCAGAACTGTTTTAATATAGTATTTATTTTATGTCTGTATTGTGAAACTTTGGAATTCCTGATGTGTAGAAAGGTGGAATATGAATTTATTAGTGCAGTGAATTAATATGTTGGGTTACTTTTTACTTTCCTTGGTTTCTTTCCCCCCTCCCTTTCTCTTTCTAGCAGGAAGACTTCTTTCATCGAAACAGCACCCCTGAAGTGGGAGGTGAGTGTGAAGCTTGTCCCTCTTGTACAATGTTTTCTAACTGTGCGATGTCACTAGCTGCATTTTCTTATGCTATGTTTCAGATTTCCGTAATCCTGCTCCTATTACATTGCTTATTAGATATTTCACCCTACTGATCACATTGATTTACGCTGTGTAATCCAAGTGATATATATTTCTTTTTCTTTTAGTATGTCAGAAAGTTGTTACTTGGTTCAAATAGGTAGGGAACCTTTTTCTGTACATTGTTATTAAGATTTCTAAGAGCCTAACTGCACACTACACGGAACAAAGTTGTCCAGTGGCACCTTTAAGACTGAATTAAAAAAAAAAAATTAAGTACCTTTCATGTGCATGCGCACTTCTTCAGAAGCGCGCGTGCACACAAAAGCTTCTACCCAGAAATCAACTTTTTTCGGTCTGAAAGGTGCCACTGGATTCAGACTTTGTTCTGCTGCTTCCGGCCAACACGGCTCCCCACCTGACTCTGTATTCATGTTGATCGTTTTCCTCTGCTTTAGTTCTTTCTGATGCTTTCGGATTTCTGAAATCCTAATGTGTTGGTTATTGAATGTCCCGTTTTGCTGATTTGTACTCAGACTCTTGAGAGTCCCTTGGACTGCAAGGAGATCAAATCAGTCAATCCTAAAAGAAATCAACCCTGACTGTACCCTGGAAGGCCAGATGATGAAACTGAAGCTCAAATACTTTGGCCACCCAATGAGAAGGGAGCACTCACTGGAGAAGACCCTGATGCTGGGAAAGATTGAAGGTCAAAGAAGACGGGGACGGCAAAGGATGAGATGGTTAACAGTGTCATAGATGCAACGAACATGAAGTTGAGCCACCTTCAGAGGACGGTGGAAGACAAGAAGGCCTAGCGTGATCTGGTCCATGGGGTTATTTGTTTCCAATATTTTGCATATAATATTCTTGCTGCCGTAGATAAATGTACTATCAAATATCTATCATCTTTATCAAAATCCTTTGGAAATAAGTTTAGTAGTAATATTTCCGGCAAAAATGATATTTCAGATCTCAGTATCTCTTGCATTATCTCGTGGAT